GGTTGAGCCATAGGCGCCGAGCCTCAAATCATTTTTAAAAACATCTTCATCGTCTTTAGTCAATAAGGAAATGTAATTGAAAATCAAGATGAGATACTGCATACCACCAGAATGCCTGAAGTTAAAAGATTGATGAATACCAAGTTTGGCAAAGACAAGGAGCAACTAGAACATTTATACACCATTGTTGGGAAGGAAGTTGCTTTGGAAAACAGTTTGTTTCCTATAAAGTTAAACATATACTTTTCAAATGACCTAGCAATTCTATTCTAGTTTTTTAACCCAAGAGAAATGAAATGAAAATATGTCCTTACAGAGGCTTGTAAGTGAATATTCATAGCAGTGTTATTCTTTTTTTTTTTTTTTGGAGACACAGTCTGTCACCCTGGATAGAGCGCTGTGGCGGCATAGCTCATATCAACCTCAAACTCCTAGGCTCAAGTGATCCTCGTGCCTCAGCCTCCTAAGTAGCTGGGTCTACAGGTGCCCACCACCTATGCTGGGCTAGTATTTTAGTAGAGATGATGTCTTGTGGTTGCTCAGGCTGATCTCAAACTCCAGAGCTACAGCAATCCATCCACCTCAGCCTCCCAGAGTGCTAGGATTGCAGGTGTGAGCCGTCATGCCTGGCCTAGCAGGGTTTTTTTTGTTTGTTTTTTTGAGACGGGGCCTCAAGCTGTCACACTGGGTAGAGTGCCATGGCATCACAGCTCATAGCAACCTCCACCTTCTGGGCTCAAGCGATTCTCTTTCCTCAGCCTCCCAAGTAGCTGGGACTACAGGTGCCCACCACAATGCCTGGCCAATTTTTGGTTGTAGTTGTCATCGTTTGGCAGGCCTGGGCTGGATTCGAACCCGCCCTCTGGTGTATATGGCTGGTGCCTTAGCTGCTTGAGCTGCAGGTGTGAAACCTAGCAGTTTTATTCTTACTGTGTTCCCTGAAAATAAGACACTGTCTTATATTTATTTTTTCTCAAGAAGACACACTAGGGCTTATTTTCAGGGGATATCTTCCTTTCTGCACCAAAATGCATGCTGCATAGCCATGCCCATTACTAGGTTTTATTATCGGGGTAGGGCTTATATTTAACAAATGCATAGAAATCCTGCTAGGGCTTATTTTTGGGGAAACACAGTAATAGCCAAAAGCTATAAACCACCCAATGCTCAGTGCTGAATTGATAAACAGATGTGGTCCTTCCATATCATAAACAATAAATGAACTGCTGATATACATAAGAACAAGGTTAAATCTTGAAAGCATTATTTTAGGTAAAAGAAGCCAGATAGAAAAGTCTATTTATTCTGTGATTATATTTATAAGACATTCTGAAAAAGGCAAAAATAGAAAACATATCTGTGATTGCTGGGGCATAGGGGAAGGGGCTGACTGCAAAGGGCCACAGGGGAAATTTGGTGGGTGGTCGTGGGGTTATATTTATAAAAACTCATCAGACTGGCTGGATGTGGTGGCTCATGCCTGTAATCCCAGCACTTGGGAGGCCAAGGCAGGTAGATCGCCTGAGCTTAGGAATTCGAGACCAGCCTGAGCAAGAGTGAGACTCCCGTCTCTAAAAATAGCTGGGTGTTGTGGCAGTTGCCTATAGTCCCAGCTACTCGGGAGGCTGAGGCAAGAAAATTGCTTGAGCCCAAGAGTTTGAGGTTGCTGTGAGCTGTGATGCCATGATACTCTACCAGGGTTGACAAAGTGAGACTCTATCTCAAAAAAACAAAAACTGTTCACTTAGACTGTTCACTTAGAATCAGTGAATCAGACTGTTCACTTAGAATCAGTGAATCAAAACAAAAAATTAGTGAATTTAATGTTGGTAAATGATAGCTCAATAAGAATCATACCCAAGAAGATTTTAGTAAAAATCATCGAATCACCAAAAAAAGCAAAAGAGCGTCACCAGAGACTCAACTACTGGATTCTTTCCCTTCTGCTTTCTTGGCTGTACACGTTTGTGTGTGGATGTGTTTTTAGTTCTCAGGGATGTAAACATAGGAGTGGACTTGGGGGTCAGACACTGTGTGTGGCCTTTTGAGGAACTGCCAGACTGTTTTCCAGAGTGGCTGCTCAGTTTTACAGTTCTACCAGCCACGTGTGAGGATTCCAGTTTCTCCAGATCCTTGCTGATCCCTCCTGTGCCACACTTGTTACTGTCCATGTTCTTAATGTCAGCTGTCGTGAGGGTGGCTGGTGTCTCACTGTGGTTTTGATTGGCATTTCCCTGATGGCTAGTGATGTAGAGCAATGTCTCTTGCGCTTATCTGTTTCTCTTCCTCGGACAAATGTCTGTTTAGATCTGTTGCCTATTTTTTTAATTGGGTTATTTGTCTTGTGATTACCTTTTGGTTTTTGACCAGGAGTTTTTTAGTTGTTCTGGTTTTCTCCCCTCTTCCTCGTCAGGTAGAAGAAGTGAAGCGACGGCAGTACTCCCTGGCATTCAGCTCCGCTGGAGCCCAAGCTCAGACCTATCACGTCAGCTTTGAGACTTTGGCAGAGTACCAGAGATGGCAACGGCAAGCGTCCAAGGTGATGAGCGGCCAGACATCTTGGTGTGGAGATAAGAATGGAGAAGCCCATTAGAAATGTGTTTTGAAACTGAACTTACTCCCAAGAAAGCGAATTATAATTTTTAATTTTCTTTCTAGGCCTTTCTGAGTCTTCATATAATGAATAAAATCATGGAATTCCAGAAAGTCCTTAACTTATTTTTTGTATTTGCATAGATAGCCCAGTGCTGTGAAAAGTGTTTTCAGGTGCATTTACCTCGGTGCCATCTGGGTGAGGTGTAAGGCCTTAGAAGGATTAAGAGATTTGACCCTTGAACGAATTGAGACACAGTGAGATGAGAGTTAAATGACTTTCCCTTGACCTCAGCAGTCAGTGATAGATGGATCCATTTCTGAACTTGTAGTCCAGTGCTTCTTGGTTGGTACATATTTAGAATAACCTTAATGAACCACTTCAAGTGATAACAGTTTCCAATGATACAGTTTGTGTTTTTTAGATCCATTTTCACAGCCCATATTTATTAGTACACTATTATAGAAATATAAACTTTGTTATGGATTTAATGAATTTTTTGTGGTTATATTGTGTTGGCTATAAAATGCTTTAAATAAAACTGGTTTTATTTTTATTTCAATTCTTCCTCTGCTTTTTAAAGAGAAGTTAATATTTTTTGAGCATATTTTGCATGCTCAGCAGTGTACTGTATGCTTGGTTATTTAATTTTATCCTCACAACAGACGAAGAAGCTGTGTGAATAAGCAGCAGAGCCAGTTGACTACAAAAGGCCATGGCTTTTCATATCACACTGCCTCTTGAATCATCCTGTGATTACTTTTTGCATGAAATGTTACCTTTCCATCTTTGTGATTTGTATACACTTTTTATCTTATGGAGACTTTCTAATTTATACTTCTGTTTATAAGAAGCTTATAGTTTTAGGGAAAAGTAAAAATTAGGCACCATGGCTCATGCCTGTAATCCTAACACTGTGGAAGGCCGAGGCGGGTGGATCGCTTGAGTTCAGGAGTTCAAAACCAGCCCTAGTAAGACTGAGACCCCTGTCTCTACTAACAATAGAAAAACTAGCTGGACATCATGGTCAACACCTATAGCTGCAGCTACTTGGGAGGTCGAGGCAAGAGTTCAAGCCTAAGAGTTTGAGGTTGCTGTGAGCTATGATGCCATAACACTCTACCCACAGCAACAGAGTGAGATTTATTTTTTTTTTTTGAGACAGAGCCTCAACCTATCCCCCTGGGTAGAGTGCCATGGCATCACAGCTCACAGCAACCTCCAACTTCTGGGCTCAAGTGAGTCTCCTGCCTCAGCCTCCCAAGTAGCTGGGACCATAGGTGCCTGCCACAACACCTGGCTATTTTTTTTTGGTTGCAGCCATCATTGTTGTTTTGGCGGGCCCGGGTTGGATTTGAACCCACCCCTTAGGTGTATGTGGCTGGCGCCTTAGCCACTTGAGCCACAGGCGCCAAGCCAGAGTGAGATTTATTTATTTATTTTTGAGACAGAGTCTAACTGTATCACCCTCTGTAGAGCTGTAGCGTCACAGCTCACAGCAACCTCCAACTCTTGGGTTTAAGTGATTCTCTTGCCTCAGCCTCCCAAGTAGCTGGGACTATAGGCACTTGCCCCAACACCTGGCTATTTTTTGGTTGTAGTTATCGTTGTTTGGCAGGCCAAGGCCAGATTTGAACCCTCCAGCTTCGGAGTATGTGGCTGGCACTCTAGCTGCTGAGCTACAGGCGCCAAGCCAACAGAGTAAGATTTAAAAAAGAAAAGTAAAAACATGAATAATTGCCATCTCATTATCTTTTTTCCCTCCTATGTTTTTATTTAGTGCCCTTTTGTATAAATGCCATTCCACGTTTTCTGCCAAGAAACTATTAGAAAAATAAATAAAATAAGTGAAATTCTACTTTAATGTAGCTGATAGGCATTCAGAGCTAGCTCAGAAGGCTCTGCTCTTTGGCCTTTTGTAGGTGGTGTCCCAGCGCATCAGTACTGTGGATCTCTCGTGTTACAGCCTGGAGGAGGTTCCTGAGCATCTCTTCTACAGTCAAGATATCACCTACCTCAACTTGCGACACAACTTCATGCAGCTAGAAAGACCAGGGGGCCTTGACACGCTCTACAAGTATGTGGAGAATAGGTTTCCAGACCGACATGTTAAAATGAGATTGTTACAAGTAACTCAGTGGTTTGTACCTGTGAGCTGTAAGTGAGCATGCTACATGCTGTAAATATTTAAAATTCCCTCTCCCGTTTGAAGATGAAGCAAAATTCTTTATTCGGGCAATAATTCCTACCTGCCCTTTCTGCCCATAGAACAGAAGATTGATGCAAGTGATCTGTTATGGAGGCAACAGTGAGCTGCCATTGATCTGGATAATCTTTTTATATAAACCACTGGCAGTGATGCATGGAATGCAGCCAGGGTAAATCAAGAGATTCACATGTGGGAATTTTTTGAATAAGAAGTATCAAATTTAAATGACTTAAAGGAGCCGAATTTCAAGGGTTTCACTCCCACAGACACGGCTTTATCTTTCCTTTGTACCTTCAACTACCAACTCCTAAGCCTTTTGTCAGCTATGAAACTTCTCTTTTCTAATAAAGGAACCATTTTACCCTTATAGGACTGACCCACATATTTTTCCACCTTTTTTATTAAAATACGTTTTCCATTCCTACCTTCTATCTATCCTGCTTCACTCCTCCACCCCAAATGGATAACAGTGAATAAATAGGTGGTGTCAGTAATTGTCTGGGCTTCTAGTGGGAAAAGGAGAAATTAGAAATTAAACCATTCACAGTGATTTAGATTCCATGGTGATTAAAAGATAATATACATTAAAATGACATGTTTTATATACTGCCTTAGTAACTAATGTTTCTAGAGTAATTTCCAGATAACAATTGTGATTTTTATCTCATCTGATATTATGTTCTAGAAAGTTTTTCAAGTGTAAGCTGCTAGTTAGTAAGGAGATAGTTATTTTAATACTGGCATGTAAAAATATAATATTGGCACATATAAATGTAAACAAGCTCTAATTTAGGGAAATTGGATTCTAGCATTTATTTTATTTACTCATTTATTTATTTATTTATTTATTTGAGACAGAGCCTCAAGCTGTCGCCCTGGGTAGAGTGCTGTGGCATCACAGTTCACAGCAACCTCCAACTCCTGGGCTCAAGCGAGTCTCCTGCCTCAGCCTCCCAAGTAGCTAGGACTTCAGGTGCCTGCCACAATACCTGGCTATTTTTTGGTTGCAGTCGTTATTGTTGTTTGGCAAGTCCAGGCTGGATTCGAACCCACCAGCTCAGGTGTATGTGGCTGGCGCCTTAGCCAGTTAAGCCACAGGCACTGAGCTGGATTCTAGCATTTCTTTCTGAGTTGCTATGAAAATAAAAATAGGATTAAACTGGTTTGAGGGCTAGATTATAAATTCTGAAGTCAAGGCAAAAAGCCAAAGGAATAATTGATAATCAGGGTCAAGTCATCTGGAAATCAAAAGTTGAGAATTTGGAAGAGGAGGGTTAGAATGAGGTAGCAGGTGTTCTAATCTAGAAGCTGGTGGTAGGGATCACTGTTAGGGAGAGCAGTACCTTACCCTCACCACCTTGCACTTGTGCCCACACAGTTTGACGCATAGTGGGTGCTCAGTAAGTATTTTTAGAATAAATTCTATGGTAAACATTTAAAGTGGATCATTTAAGGCCAGGCTTTGTGGCTTACACCTGTAATCCCAGCACTTTTGGAGGCTGAGGAGCTCAAGACCAGCCTGGGCAACATAGTAATACCCTAGCTCTTAAAAAAGAAAAAAAATTAGCTAGTATAACACTCCCAAGTAGAATTAACTAGAGTTAATCTTAGGGATTGATTTTGTGACAATACTATGTCTGGATAAGACAACATAGATTACTTGTAAACAAAATAGAAGCACTCAAAGGTAACTATTTCATGTTGTGTATCAGATTACATTTCAGTAAAATGCTATGTCATAGTCATATTTTCAAGCTCCAGTTGGTTCATTTATTTTAAATAACATTTGAGCCAACATAATTTCAGTATGAAACAAGTTGCTTGTAATGTAATTAAGAAAAAAGGTTTTTGTAGAGATGGGATCTCACTGTGTTGTCCAGGCTAGTCTTGAATGCCTGGCTTCAAGCAGGACCCCCATCTTGACCTCTGAGTGTCAGGATTACAGGCGTGAGCCACCACACCTGGCCTATTGCAGGATTTGATCTACATATTTGTTAGGTATTCCTGTTTCTGAGTTTATTAATTCTTGCAACACTTTTGTACTTTACATGTAGAAATTTAATAATGGAAAGCGATTTAAAGCAATGAGGTATGCTTAACACAGAGTTGTACCAGCACGAGCTGTTCTTCAAGTTCTGCCTTGTTAAGGAGAAGAGATACTCCTCACACTAGGCCTGGTTTCCTTGACAGGGTAGACTGTGCACTAGTCATCTTGGTATCCTCTGTGTGCACACAATGTTTGACATATAGTAAATGCTTAGTAAATATTTTTGGAATAAATTCTATGATGGACATTTAAAATAGATGATTTAAGGCGGGGCATGGTACCTGTAATCCCGGCACTTTAAAAGGCTGTGATGGGAGACTACTTGAGCACAGGAGTTCAGGATCAGCCTGGGCAATGTGGTGAGACCCCCATCTCTACAAAAAATAAAAATTAGCCAGGTGTGATGGCTTGCTCCTGTAGTCCCAGCTACTTCGGAGGCTGAGATGGGAGGATTGCTTGAGCCCAGGAGTTCCAGGCTGCCGTGAATTATGATCGTGCACTAGATTCCAGGCTGGGTGATAGAGAAAGACTCTGTCTCCAAAAGATAAAAAAGAAAAAAATAATAGATAAAATCATTTAAGATAGATCATCAAAGGCTTTTGATGTCTCTTATAAAGATACAGTAACAGATTTATTGAAATGTAGTATAAACTTTTGCCTTTGCGCTTTAGATTTTCTCAGCTGAAGGGCCTAAACTTGTCCCACAATAAACTCGGGTCGTTTCCTGTGTTGTTGTGTGAGATCTCCACCCTGACTGAGCTCAACCTTTCCTGCAATGGATTTCATGACCTACCAAGTCAGATTGGCAATTTGCTAAAGTAAGTAACTGGCTTTTCTTAGATTCCTTTTTTCCCTTGCAGAGTAAAGAACTTATCTGGCATTTGGAATGAAGGTGGTACCGTGAGCTCTGTGGCAACATAAGTCATGTGTTAGGATTCTAGTCAGCAGCAGTTTCTTCCCTCAGAGATTTGTGAGCCCACTGCAGTGACTAATCCTTCAGCTTCACAGCAGAGGTCTTGATTCCCTTAAAGAGGGACCATTCATGCAGGTTCCTTTAAGAGAGATGTGTAAGTTATCTATTAAGTGTGTACAGGTGGAGCGTTAAGATGTTTTATCATTTTTGGATTAGTGGTAAATTAGTAACATAAGGCAGAATGCATAACTCAAGTTTTTATCCATTCTAATGAAATCTTTCACAAAGTTGTTTTATTTTGCTCCGACAGTCTTCAAACTCTCTGTCTTGATGGCAATTTTCTGACTACTTTACCTGAAGAACTGGGAAATCTGCAACAGCTTTCCTCCCTGGGAATTTCGTTCAACAACTTTAGTCAAATCCCTGAGGTTTATGAGAAACTCACTATGTTAGATAAAGTGGTTATGGCAGGAAATTGCCTGGAAGTGCTCAGCCTGGGGGTGCTGAACAGAATGAGCCATGTCAAGCATGTGGACTTGAGGTAAGGCCCTTCTGCACCGTATCTGCCTGTGGGTTGGCTCTGAGGAGCCTTTATGTTAAAGACTTCTTTAAAACAATGAGATTTTAGAACAGTGTGGAAATAGATGTTTTCCAAGCTGTACTAGAACTTGGTTTGGTGCTCAGTAGCAGATGAGGCATCGGGCAGGGGCAGCGCCCAGCAGCATTTCATGAGCATTCGTATCTCCTCACATCCTTGTTAACTCTGCATTTTAGCAGTACTTTTTCTTACTTTTTTTTTTCTTTCTTTTTCTTACTGTCAGTCTAGTAGGTGGAAAATAGTATTTCATTAGTCAACATTTGCTCAGGAGTGAGATTGAGCCCCTTTTTATATGCATATTAGTAGTTTGTAGTTTTTCCATAAACCTGGCCATTTTTCTGTTGAGTCACTGTGTTTCTTCTTGATCCCCTACTATTATAATTAAAATGTTAAAGGTTTTATTACTAGGAAGTTTTTGTAAGAGTTTTATATGCTGGTCATAATCTTTTCCCAAAGGAAGCTGGTGAAAGGTGCCTAGTGGATGTAGTGTCATTTCTAATAAGCTGTTGATGTGCCTTTAAAGACAGCATAAGAGATAGGTGCATCAAAATATAGAAAAATTAGAATGGGTGTGCATGCATTAAATCATATACTTGCGTAGAAAAGAATCAAAAGGTCACCTTCTCTAATTTGCCTTTGAGTTATGTCTCTTAATTAACATTATGTGAATCTTAGCGCTAGAGCTAGAGCAGGCACAGCAACAGGAGTGTGGCCGCTTTCCCAGACTCCTGACGTCCTGCTCTCAGCACTGGTTTGCTGCTCACTAACTCAGAAGGTTGTGTCCATCTTCTTGTTCCTTTGCCCTACTTCTCAGCCCCTACCTAACCTTATTAGGCATTTGGATGTAAGTATTTAACTGCGGCTATGGCCCCCGCTGTCCATCTTTTTATTTAATTTGCATTATGTATTTGCCGGTCTGGATGGTTTAGTTTAGTTTTTGGCTTATAAATTTAGACTATAAACTATCTGTGATTATTTATATAGTACCTTGCAAAATGAGGCAAAGTAAATTCTTAAGTTGTTTAGGAAATAGAGAAAGGGATCATACCTCTCCTATTTTTCATTTGGTAATCACATTTAATAGAATTTATTTCTGATTGTTTTCTTATTTCTGAATATTAAGGTTGAACCATTTGAAAACTGTGGTTATCGAAAATCTGGAGGGAAATAAATACGTCACTCACGTGGATCTCCGAGACAATCAGCTGACTGACTTAGATCTCAGCTCCTTGTGTGGCTTGGAGCAGCTGCACTGTGAGCGGAACCAGCTGAGGGAGTTGACCCTCAGTGGCTTCTCCCTTCGAACTCTCTACGCCAGTTCCAACAGTGAGTTCTCTGGCCAGCCTCCTGCTTTTTCTCTTTCAGCTGTAGTCAGAGGGTTCTAACAATGGTGACATCTGTGGTGTTTCCCAGCCACTTGGCAGATAGACTCGATGGTTTACTTAAGGCCTGGCTTTATCTTTTCTCTTCAGTGTCAACGCTTAAGTGCTTGCCATGTGCATGAACAGACATAGCAGGATACTTTGAGATTTACCAAGTGAGCACAATAAAAGGCATGTCACAAAATAACGGGGTGGGGACAGGTGGGCAAGCATGTTCAAAACAGGAGCAATATCTAAAACAGGGATTGGCCCTGGGACTGAATCTGGCCTGCCACTGCTTTTTGTATGATGCATAAGAAATCATTTTTTTAATGGGTAGGTAGAAAAAATCAAAAGAATAATTTTGTGAAAATTATATAAAATTCAAGTTTCTGTGTTCATAAATAAAGTTTTATTGGAATATAGCCACACTAATTCATTTACATATTGTTTTCACATTACTGATTTCATGTTTTGGTGGCAGAATTGAGTATTTGTAAGAGAGACTATATTATGGTTATGCACAGTCAAAAATATTTACTGTTTAGCCTTTTAAGAGAAACTTTGCCAATCCCCATTCTAAAAGCTTGTGTTGCCTCATTGCTAGAATGAGAAGCCCCTTACTCAAAGCCACCTTTGTAGAGTGCCATGGCATAATAGCTTACAGCAACCCCAAACTCTTGGGCTTAAGCTATTCTCTTGTTTTAGCCTCCTGAGTAGCTGGGTCTACAGGTGCCTGCCACAATGCCTGGCTATTTTTAGACATGAGGTCTCACTCTGGCTCAGGCTGGTCTCGAACCTATGAGATCAGTAAATCTACCCACCTTGGCATCCCAGAGTGCTAGGATTACAGGTGTGACCCACTGCACCTGGCCCCAACTGAGGCCATTCTTTAATTGCTTTTTTCTGTGTTTAAAGGTAGTAAGGAAAAGATGTTCAATTTCACTGTCAAAAAGATGCAAATTTAAATAACATTTTATAGTTACCGAATTTGCAAAATATATATATAAAATGCTGAACATTACCAAAGATGAGGCAGAGTGTCTTCTTAAACACTCACACACTGCTATGAGAGGCATAGAACGCCTCAGAGGTCAGCATGATGGTCAGGGAGGTAGAGGACACACATATCTCACATTCTGGCAGCTCCCTGCTTGCATGTATCCCAGAGACACATGTGCACAGGGTGTGTATAAGAATGTTCATCACAGCATGGTTTGTGAGAGTGAAGAAATAGGGAAAGATAGGAGTATTGCTAGGAAAATGGATAAACCCGTAGTAATATATTTACACAATATAATACCAAACAGCAATAGAATGAATGTAATTAGAGTTTTGTGTATTAACATGGATAAATCTCTGAAACACTTTTGGGCAAGAAAGTGCATCATTGTATATATACTATGATAATCATGTTCAAATTTAGAATACACAGAAATATTGTTTTCTTAGCTGTAAATGTGCATAGTATTATGAAAGAATCCATGGGAATGATAAAAACCACATTTAGGATGATGTTTACCTCTTGGTATGTGTAGCATTTTAATTTTTTTTTTTTTTTTTTTTTTGAGACAGTCTCACTATGTCACCCCCAGTAGAGTGCCATGGCGTCACAGCTCACAGCAACCTCCAACTCTTGGGCTTAAGTGATTCTCTTGCTTCAGCCTCCCAAGTAGCTGGGACTACAGGCGCCTGCATCAACACCTGGCTGTTTTGTTGTTGTTGTAGTGGTTTAGCAGGCCAAGGCTGGGTTTGAATCCATGGTGTATGTGGCCAGCACCCTAACCAGTGAGCTATGGGCGCCAAGCTAATTCTTAAAAAAAAAAAAAAGCCGGAAGCATATAAGACACAAGGTAGATTTGTTTAAAAGCCAGATGATAGGTGTAAGGCTACCATTTGCATCACCTTTTACTAATTAGCCATTAATCTAAGGTTCAAATCATAGCTTAGATTAATTGCTTGGCCAAGGAGTGTCCCACTGATGAGTGTTGACTTGTGCTGTTTATAGATGCTGTGATATGGTAGTAAGTCCTTGCCATGAAGATGTTTGTTACCAGGCCCTTCCCTGTCCTTAATGTGTCTAGAGAGGCCAAATGCCTGGCTCTCCTGGAAAAGACATTGACATACAGGCTCGGTGCCTATGGCTCAAGTGGCTAAGGCACCAGCCACATACACCTAAAGTGGTGGGTTCGAATCCAGCTCGGACCCGCCAAACAACAATGACGGCTGCAACCAAAAAATAGCCGGGCATTGTGGCGGGCGCCTGTG